GTTATATATAATATATATAGTTATATATACTTGTTAGTATGGTATTTGTGAAAAACAAATGCTTCACATATGGCTATATTCATACTTTATCAAACGTAGAAAGGTCTTTACACACAAATTCTCTATATAGCGTACCGAGGATATGTGTAAACGAGTATATGTGAAATGAGTGAACGGTGGTACAAATACTGTTTCTTTCCAGAAATGAAACCGAAATACATCTAATCCGCTGACCTTCACGAGACGAGTCACAAGTAGAGTATGTTTTATCTACAATGCAAAGAAACATATAAAATTCCAAAGAGCTATTCGATTGGAAGCCTATATATCAGAGATATTGACACTAAAGAAAATAAAACATGTGTATGTCGCGTAGTGAATACGTAGAGCCCTGCAGGTGCGTGCAAGAACGCACGACAATGGTTTGATTTACATGAAAGTTTCTTACCTGTACTTTAAGACATACTCAACAAAATTACGAAATAATTTTCGTTGTGTAAGCTGCGAGGTATGTTTATACATGTTTGAACCCCGTTTTAAGACACACGTGTACGCCACCAGAACATATGATAGTAAGGACATCAAGTGAATCAACCCACCACATACCTTTCGCTCAATCTCCGCCTCTTTCTTCGCGAACTCCTCCTCTTGTTTCTTCAGCTCATCCACATCCACGCCCGTTGCCTTGGCAACCTCGGGCTTCGCCTCAATTTCCTCGACCTTCTTCTTCAACTCCGCGTGCTTCTGCTGCACCGCGCGTTTTTCCGCGGCCTCCTTCTCATCGCGCTCTACACGTGCTTGCTTTTTCCAACGCCAAAGTGACTCTTTGTCGATGTTAGGGTGCTGATCAGCCTCATCGTCGCTGATCTCGATATTGTTCCACTTGCTATAGTCAATAACAGACATATTGCGTCACATGTATATGATTATGAGCTAAAGTTATGGCATGTAGTTCAACATTAGTATGTTTTACGGTGGTTTCAACGTACATCCATCTAAATAAACGTCAAAGCGTCATTTTTAAACGTAAAAACAAAAATGATTATTAGAATTATATACGTTTCAACGTAAAAAAGATCAACAGCTCACCTCCAGGTTCAAATCCCGATGGTACTATTTGTAGCTTTTAACCGTTTAACTGATACGACAAGAATGGTTCAAACCCGTTTTAACGAGATGAGTTTGTGCCTGCTCTGAAGTTGAATCATCAGATGGTCTTCCAAACTTCCGGAATGTTTTTCGACCGCGAAATTACTTCTCCAGCATTTTCGCGATCTCCAGAGTTTTAGGGTTTGTATTTGCTTTGTCTCTATCATTTTCTTTTTTCAGGGGGCTACGTGTTCAATTTAGGAGGCTATGGCTACTCTATTATTTATTTTCTATATCGTACTATGTATGACGGTCGATATTTTACTAAAGCTGTATGTTGCCGTTGCAAATGTATTGTGTAAAGCAGTGGGCGTGCTGCTGACCCAATCGATGTTTAAGCTGCATGTTGTCGATTCATTTGTATCGTGTAAAATTGTGACCCATTTATTATATTTATATAGCTTTCTGTCTCGAAAATATATATATTCAGGTGAAGGCGAGAAATGATGTGTCTGTATATAGTTTGTATTTTTAAGATATGTACTGTTGTCGTAATTTGAGCGCCTCGCGTTGACAAGATTCAAATATATTTTCTTTATTTGTTTGTAGTTCGCAGACTCTTTGCCAATAAGTTTAGTACTTTTTTTTTTCGCGACTTTGGTTGCGAACACTTGTAGTGCTCGTAGTTAGATTATCAGTCACGTTGTTAGTAAAACGCTAACGAATTTATTGCTCTGCTATTCTCGACACTCTTGTCTGTCACTTTTCAGCTATATTGCTCACTGCACACCGAGTACTCTTGACATTCGAAGTCAAAGGTATGCGCAGTCCAAAAGAAGAATGGACTTAGGTTTAACTATATGTTTGTATTTATATATTGAGACCAATCTGATGCATGTGTAATAACAATAAACCTTTTCATAAAGTGTTACAGAATGGAAATTGTAATCAATTGCTTGAAAGTGTCGTCTACACCTACTGCGACCCTCTGCAGGTTTATTTGCTCTTCGCGCCCGCTGTAAAACCGAAAAGAGATCTTCCAACAATCCAAAATTTGAAACCCAGGAGTATAACATTGGTGCTCTCAATTATTTAAAGCTTTCAAGTTGTGTGTTTCCCATTAGTACCTTTGGTAATTGAGC